TCAGATTGACCTTTCTTTTCCAGTACATGCATTTCTATTTCTTTGAGTGCAATTTCATGTTTCATTTCCTTTTCTCTGAGATCTTTTTCTACCTCCTTCAAATGCAACTGCAATTTTAAGACTTCGATTTGATCTTTTGGATCGGTGGGTAATTCAAATGGGTCTTCTTCAATGAGACCTTTTTCAACCAAAGCTTTACCAACAGTGCGCAGTAAATAACCCTTTTTCTCTCCTCCAAAAACCTTGATTCCGAGGGGCTTTGCCAAAGCAATCAACTCATCTTTAGTCAAATCATCTACACTTTCAGGTGTCAAATCGGACCTGCTCAAAAACTCTTCGGCAGTGAAACTCATATTGGCGATTTAGCCCAACTCTTTGAGCCGTTTCTCGCAACAATCTAATCAAAAATCGCCTAAAGAATGAACAACGAAAACTTGAATGTGTTCTTTCCCGGACAAGCCCCCAATTTATCTGTTACGAAGTCACTTCAAATCCAAGCAGACAACATAACAGACAAAAATTTGAATAAAAGGAAAGGAACACTCAAATGAATGAGGATCGGAATCAAGGAGTTTTTGGAAATGAAATTAGAATTATTTTAATTATTTACAATCCACAAATTAACACACATAAACAAGATTAAATAAGCAGATGGGAAAGCAATTAATTATACATTACAAATCAAGTAAATCATATCATACGGTTGGCCATTGGTGAGAGGGGAGGTACCTCCAGAGGGTGGAACCCTGGACTGCAGTCTGCCGGAAAAGTTCGGAAGTCGCGAGAGAGAGTTCTTGTCATAACGACTTGCGTCTTGATCGGCGACCTCCGAAACCGGGCGCTTGGTGTGATGGACGGTACGGGTGTAGACCGGATCAGGGGAACGATTGTGCTAGCTGACCAGTAGACGAAGTGCCATAGCAGAGGGGCGTGGCACCGGCGGGAACGGTACCAAGACACTGGCCCAAGCCAAGGATAACCAAGTCAGCGGTCAATCTGGCCGTCGTGGTGGTACGGACCGTGCCCCGTGCAGACGGCAACGGGCAAGGCACGGCCAAGTCAGCGGCCTCAGCAAGCCAGACGGTAGGGCAGCATGGCATCGCCGGAGAGCGAGTCCCTTGACCACACCTCAGCAAACTGCAGTTCAGAATCTCCCGAACGTCGAAATTCCAGAGCTTTTAAGTCCGGCAGGGAATTCCAATGTCCATTCCACTGGTAAGGAATGTGGGTTGGACTCCAGCGCGGAGTCCCAATGCGGGACCAAAAGTTTGTTGCAACAAAAGGGGACTATGCAGGACGATCGCGGGCCATTGGCCTAATTTACATGAAGTTAATTTGCTTAAACCTTAAACAATTTACGAATTCTTAACAATATCGTTTAATCATGTAGAGTAAGCAACTTAAATGAGTGCCTAATTTCCGATATGGATGTGAAGAAAGAGAGCTTTGGATTCCCGAAGCTTACTTCAGTCTCCTATTGTATCCGATAGTTGCCATGGACTGTGATAGATGCGAATGTAGTTTAGGCAAGACATCCCAGCTACAGTTAGGATACTTTTGAGACGTTGTTGGCAGCAGACAGACCGGTCCCTTTTCCATATTTGCATGGCGCACACTAGCTTAAATTGAAAGGACCTGCCAAAGTCTTCCATTGTCCCCCCCCCCCCCCCCCCTAGTTTGCCATTCCCCAAAGAAACTTAAACGAAAGAGAACAAACATTGGGTGAACGAAAGAGGAAACAAGAAGAAAAAATAGAGACTCGAAATAAAATACATGTATACATCGGACTGGATACGCTCGGAAATGACCTTAATTTCACGCGGCCTTATTCTTATACTAGTTTATTACAAACAAAATACATTGCAGACAAAAAGCATAAATGGTGACAATTACAATATTTACAAAAAAAAGCTCAAAGTTCATGCACATAAAAAGTTCGGGAAAAAAATAAGATTTTAAGCGATAACAAATAGGTAAAATTTTAACACAAGCCATTTAGATCACCTACACAACACGACCCTACCCCCCCCCAAAAAAAAACCCACAACAAACTAACAAACAACCCCAACACTCCAACAAACAACTTAACAACGAACAGACATGCACTACGTGCATAGAAATTACACACATTACTTATGGAACATTAGCACGTAAATGAATGGTTTTAATGTGTCAACCTACAATCGCCAACATCTAAAGATGTTCCCGTCCCCAACCCACCCCTTTCGACCCATCCCCGCTTTTTGATTTTGCCCCGACTATTCTGTGTTGCCCCAAAGCGATTCAAGGCCAATAGCAAGTTATGGGATTGACATTTTGGACAGGATTAGTACCAACATTTTATCTACAATACATGTACTTATAACTCGAGTAAATATTCATCAGACTACATTATTATTGTTAACAAGTGTGCAAACAAAAACCGGTTCAGATTTTTTAATAAATCCATGTCTGTGTCTAGGACCACTGCAATTGTTCCAATCGGAACGTAGTCACAATTGGAATATTTCTCATAAAGGCTTTGATTCAAAAATGTACTTACAGAATTCACCATTTGAGCTGGTGGATTAGGTTACAATTGCAGTGAATTGTATTGAACCCTAAACATATTCAATTGATACCTACATAATGTAAAAGCAACTTATTTGCTCTTCTCTCAGTGGCATGAATTTATGTACTCAGTCGTGTCCACCGCAGTCCATTAATCCAGCTTAATCACAACCGATTTTTAGCTGCTGCTGAGCAGCTCTACACGCACTCATGTCTTGCAGTTTGTTGGTTGGTTTATTTGTTGGCTGGTTAGTAACACACTTCACGAAATGACTTTTTTTGGCCATCAGTCACCTTGTCCCTTAGGCCCTCGCATGAACACGTGCCTCTGTATCATGACCCTGAATTTTGACAGTTGTATAGGTCTCCACTAACCAGCTAATAATTTATTGCAGTTGTGGATCATTGGGTCACAAGAGTCAACAACCACATGTTTGTACTAAAACACTTTGCATTAATTGGGACTGGCACTAATCTGCACACACATTTGGTGTTCCACATGTACCTAGCATACAGCTATAAAACGCTCCATGCACCAACCGACATTCAACAAATACGAATCCTTTATTTCAATTGACAGTCACAACCATGTTAGTAGTAGGGCATGATAAACAGATTTTACATCATGTACATGTCTTATAGGCCACAATAGATCTACAGTTAGGCCGCAGATTCCGGAACTTGTTTTTCAACAGAATTTCGAAACCGTAAATAGGCCCTAAAAAATGACAAAAAATAACTACACAAAAGAGCTCTGCGTTATTGGCAGGGGTCACCCGAGAGAGCAATCGTTTTGTTGCGTGCATGTGCTACATAGCAACCGCCCACGACATTTGTCTGATCTCAAAATCACACGTACACAGTACATGGGAAGTCCCTTATAAACACAATAAGACCTGTTACGTGCAGGGGCGGTATAGTTTTAAAAAAAGATGAAATGGGTTGTCACGTTGTCCCTAACTTTTCAGTGAGGATTTTTCTTGCTAGCCCCACTTGGGAATCTGTTAGGGACCGTTTATCACCATGCCGTTTGGCAATGTGCCAAGACTACACGCCTAGTAGTACATGTATGATGGGGGTCCGCTCATAAGTCCGACGCCTCATAGGTCCGACGCCTCATTAGTCCGACAAAATCGCAATCCCAATAAGGCCCATAAGTCCGACGCCTCATAGGCCCAACGCTTCATAAGTCCGACGCCTCATAGCTCCGACGCCTCATAGCTCCGACGCCTCGTAGGTCCGACAAATTAAACGCCTCGTTTTCCCAGCGTCGGACTTATGAGGCGTCGGACTTAAGAGGCGTCGGACCTATGAGGCGGAATAAATAAATGTTATGCCTCATAAGTCCGACGCCTCATGAGTCCAAATTTTTGACTTATGAGGCGTCGGACTTATGATACGGCCCTGTAAGATGCTGGTCTGAGAGCGGGTAGAAACGTAAACTGATTTTAAATAGCTTTTCTTTGAATGTCTTTTATTGTATCTTGTCTACGCAAGAAACCGATTGAGCCGATCTTGCATGACGCAGTAGTCACACTTATACGACAGTCATGCAGCGGTCAGTCGGTCGGTCAATCGGTCAGTCGGCACATGGAGTTAAAACGTCTCATTGATAGCGCCTCCAACAACAGAACAGAGATAGGCGTGTGGAGTTTGATGCCGAGTACGGCGTGTCATTATTGAAATCAATCTGCTGGTCATTTGAAGTACTGGGAACAGTTTGTAAACTTGATATCCAAAACTACACTTGATCAAAATTATTTCGTGTGTTAGTACATGTATGTTTGAAGTTTGACATGCACATTTACAAAGAACCCACAATGCTATGGGTCTTTGCGCAAGCGAATCTCAATACTGCTCTCTCGCGCCGCGCCTTGACTCTCTGAACTTCGTTATGCAATTTGTACACGTGGCATATGAAAGAATAGCTCATAAATATTCATTTAATACCTGAATGAAACGTCAATATGCAAATTTCCTGTAAGTACATGATACCCTCAAAAATTTGCCATATAGAGTACCGAAGTGTAAAAACCAGTCGTTGGAACCAGAAAGTGTAGTGCAAACGAGTGAAGTACGCGTGCGTGTTGGTTCACGTCTTTTTATTCTATATATTAATATGGTTCACAGGCTGAATCACGTGCAAATGTCTTTCACACACATTTTGTGCGCGTGACGTATTCACTTCGACACTCCATACCGATCCGTTTTGTTTGTCCCGTTTCGGGGACATCCCATTACCGTATTTGGTCATATAGACTGTTTCATTTCTTTGAAGGATTTATTTTAAGACAATTAACTGCCAAACCATTTTCACATGAGGTATCTTTGAAATAGACTTGCATGCTCCACAATATGAAAGCTTTGAAAAGTATTTTATAAGCATAGTGCCTGATTTGTTAGGCTTAGGATAGGTCAAAGTATGCTTGCTGGAGCAGAGGTAATGCAATTCACCCGAGAGTAGACGGGAAGAGACCATCTGACGACACACACACAGCGGATGCATGGCGTAACGTTGCTGAAAATAATGAAAGGTCGGGATACACTCACATTTATTTATGTCACTTCTTTGATGTCAATTAGCTCGCAGGCTTTACCCCAAAGACTGTATGGGTCTCATTTTAGAAGTAAATTGTCTCGGAATACATGGGTGTTTCACATTTGTGTAAAAAAAATGGGGGGTTTCGTCGCGCATTTTCGTCTGTTTACATGCCAAATCCAACGACATGGTCTTACGTTGCCTTGAACGCACGCGTGATGCGCTTACTGAATGTCACTCTTGATTGGCTAAAGGTGCGTATCCATGGTGAGCGCTGTATAAATCAATAGCCCCCAAAAGAAGGAATGAGACAAACGATTCCATATGGTCAGTCAGTCAGACAGTCAGACAGTCAGACATACAAACAGACAAACAGACAGTCTGCAGGCAGTCGGTCAATCAGTCAGTCTGTCAGTCATACACAAAAAGGGCGTTTGCACCCCTCCCCGAAAAACAAAAAAAGGAGAGAAAAAAAGGAAAAGAGAAGCGAAGTCATATTGCTGTAATTTAAATGGGGGGAGGGGCAAATGTCCCTGCCAATCCTCGAAAATGATACATCGAGAATATGCTCAAAAGAACAGGCATTTTTTTATAGGGGGATGTGCTTTTCCCTCTCTAGAAGAAATCCTGGCAACGCCCATTCCCTCGTGAGAGGAGCACTGTTGTTTGTGATTGCCGATTTCCCATCTCGAGAGGGGCACGACTTTATTATTGTTAGAGGGGTGTTTGTGCTTTCGAGGGATAGTTTTCCATCTCGAGAAGATTCACAATCTTGTTAATGCGCGGGGGGATATTTGTGTAAATAACGGGTTATTATGCATTACAAGAGAAGAGACAATTTTAAGCTCGTCAATATGCTTTCAGTGTGTACGTTTGATAGGAAAGGGCGTAACAAGGGCATTTGATTCGGGGGGGGGGTAATAATTTCATGAAAAAGGCACTTGCACATCCGTGCTGAAGTGTATACTAAGTTTTTTTTCTCGGGACACTTAGCCTCCGTAAAATCAAATAGTGGGTGAGGAGGGGGATGATACCATCTGTCTATAGATTGCATAAGGTATGGAAAAATATAGATATTTCAACACAGTATAGTTATGTATCTTTATATTGCAACTGTAGGTGCAATGGGAACGATAGTGAACATGGCCAGTTGTAACTCATGTAACGGCTTTTAATTTTACGCTGCTTGAAATTCTTCCTACAATACAAACTACTCTCCATTATCCAGTTTGCTTATTATCATAATACCAAAATGCTGGATAGGTAATATTATGACGTAACAATTTTGTCCTCCGATCGGACTGAACTTGATTCATCGCGATAATGCGACCTCTACCGCCGTTAGTTTGATCTCGCTGCCAGGGACCGGCTGAAATAGGGGGGGGGGAGTACAAATCCAGTTTTGAAACAAGACTATGAAATATCAGACTGAGTCTTCTACATTTGCTCAATAATTTGTTATAACGACTGAATGCAACAAACGTGTTTTTGAATTTCGAGATTCCATTGCGATTTTAGCTTTTATGATCTCATCTTCACAAACATGTCATTGCCAGGCATTTGAAAAAAAAAAATCGTGGAGTTGACTTTAAAGGATTCTTGTAACGACTCCGGCTTGACGAGGGCCCCAAGATCCATATCACAAGAGGGCGTTTACTGAATTTGAGTCTGGGTACATAAAATGTTCATTCATCAGAAAATTAGTGGCGGTTGTATGCGGGGCTAGCCTCCCCCCCCCAAAAGAAATTCCCTCCAAAAATGCATTTAGCAAAATATTAGAATGTGACGTACATGCGAATGGTCTCCCCCTAAATAAATATTCGTGAGAAGGGTACATTTGTACACTGTTGGTTAATACAGTGTGCCTGATTGTAGGATTTTATCAGCCCTCAATATTAAAAATATGGCACGAACCCCTCCCCCTATTGATTTTCAAGGGCCTAAGTGTCCGGAGAAAATAACGGGTCTACATTTCAGCACGCCTCCCTGAAAAAAAAAAAAAACTGGATTCACCCTACTAGCCCCCCCCCCCCTAAAAAATATTGACTCTGGAACCGCGCCTGCAGAAAAAAAGGTTTTTGGACAACGAAGTATTACAAAGCACCAAAAGAAAATTGATTTCATTGGCTGACAGTTACATTGGACGAGAGGAGGGGACAGGTGGGGATGGATATAAAGAAAAAAAAGTTCACTTATTAATTTTAAAAAATGCTTCAGTGTGGTCTACATGCAGACAGGGCGGTAACTATTCTTATGGAGGAGATGGGATTCTGAAAGAGGGCGCTATTACTTATTGGTAGGCTGAAACTTCATGCAATTCAGCATGCAAGGGATAGACCTCATCGATGGGAGGGGGTGTGGGGTGTATTGATGGAGTGGTTAATCCCCCCCCCCCCACACACACACACTCACAATTGAGCCGTGTTCAATACTAACATGATTGGGATATCCTAAATGTGAATTGATCTGAGTGTATGTTACCACTATTGGACGTTTTATTCCATTCCCCTTTAGGCACCGATTACAACTCCCCCCCCCCTTTGAAATGTTTCGGACATCGAAACCCCAGTCATACCCTTTGGAAAATGTTAGATCCGCCCCTGCATTGATGCACATGGAGCATTGGAGTACAACAAGTAGTGATTATTAGCCCACTCTTTAAAAAATAAAGCTATTCTGTATCCAGAGGGTGGGGTGTCCTTTCCAGGCGACGTCATATGTCTTTCAAAGAACTTTGGAGGGCCAGTAATGCGGATGGGTTGGGAATATACGGAAATATAGAATTCGGGGTAGCTTTGCACAATCCTCGATACAATTTTGTTTCCCAAGCAGAATTGTATTTAATTATCAAATTATACTAAACATCGTTACACAATTCTGTGCGTCGACTGTTTTATTCAGAAATAATTCGTCCATGATACAGCTGTTATACTTAGTATTATAATGTATACATCAGTAACAGTATATTGACAAAAACATTGTAGTTTGGTTGCTCAAACATTTTACTGCCTTCGCCCACAACAATTATTAATTTGGAATAGATCTCTTATATAACGATATTTTATATAAAAATAAACAAGTTGTTTCTTAAAAACATTTAAATTTCGTCGCAGTTCTGAAAGGTTGTCAATGAGCCACGTCTTTTGCAAATGTCAACATCTGCTCCTCTCTTATTAAACTTTTCAGCGGAACTTAATCAAATCGATAAACCACCAGATATAATTTGAAATTTTTTTAATCGTACTTGGTTTTCCAGCTTTTAGAAATAAGAATACCTACATGACATATAATTTCCAGATAATTTATGATTATCGTCAATGTAGGGAGCAAATAATGTAAAATATAAAGCATCCTTCAATATGACGATAACTTCTTTTATATTCCTACCTGATTTGTGGCCTATTTCGGCTGTAAATACTCTTGTTCTTGTATTTCTGTTACTGAAAGCATAACTACACTGAATAATAAACTTAAATAAAAAATCTCGGTGAGCCATACTCGAGTGAATGGCAGACTGTGTGTTATACATCCAGTTTGGTTAGATTTTTTCAAAGTTATAGTTTTGCATTTATAAACGTTCGTGTTGAAGCAATAGTCACATATATATCTTTGCTTTAGTTAACAAGAAATTACAGTTCTTTTATTGGCATCGTATCAGTGCTCTCATTTACTAAAAATATCGCCTATAGAATATTTGAGCATTTAACTTAAGACATTCACTTTAATATGACTAGTTATGACTTGTTTATAAACTATGACTAGTTTATCCAGAAAACATGACAGTCATAGACAACAAAACATGATTTGCAAATCAGCGTCATTCGATGTCTTTGTGTAAATCCTGAAATCCCCCTCAAAATAGCGTCGTATGAGTGCTCCCATTCACTCACAAATATCGCCTATAGACAATTTGAACATTTAACGTAAGATATTCACTTTAATATATCTACTTTATTCAGAAAACATGACAGTCATAGACAACAAAACTTGATTTGCAAATGAGCGTTATTCGATGTCTTTGTGTAAATCCTGAAATCCGACAGGTCTTTTCTGTTCTAAACATGCAGCTACAAATGTTTGATATTCATTTTCCACAAAGCAGTATTTTGTTCTATGGATTAAAACAGCTCTTTCATACATATAATTACATACAAATAAAAACGAACACCTGATAAATGATTATGCAGTAAAATGTAGGAATTTTTTTAACATAAAAGGGCACAATTGTTGTTAAGGAAGACCTTATTCCAGGTGCTACTGCACATTAAGCACAATACAATTCAGCAAATGATTACGGTGGCCCTGGAACGACATTTTAATATTGCCCTTTATAATATGAACCTTGTAACTTCTTAATATTGACGTTGTACCTTCGCAATATGCACATTGCACGTAGTTTAATATCGCATTGTGGAAGTAGTTCCTTCTTAATGTGAATGTTCCAACTTGTTAATATTCACGTTCGATCTTGTCAATGTACAATTGATCATGCTTGATGTCAACGTTGCACCTTACTTCTTCTCAATATGAACCATGTACCTTCGCTTTGTGAACGTTTGACCTTGCATCTTGTTAATATCATTGTTGAACCGTCCTCCTTGACAATGTGAATCATGCATTCTAAAAAGTACGAAGTCCTTGTCAAACCCTACAGTTAAACAACCAGTTATGATGGAGTTTCAATCTGACAGCTGTTTAATGTCACTTAACCTGGGTCTACCTTGTAGTGATTTTTATCATGAATCAAGGCTCTCTGATTTATTTCACATATCTTCACGTGCATTTACACAGCTGGTGAATATTTTAAGTCCACTTTCGAACGAAGTGAATGGGGATGCGATTTGTAATTAAAAACAAATTGGACACTGTACATTAACTCTTCACTAAGAGGATAGATCGTTTAAACAAAACCTACTTGTGCAGCAACAAACGGGAAAAAACGGGGAAAAACTGCCCGTAAACATCTTTCTTTTCAGCAA